TTTAGGGTTAAGGGTTTAGGGTCCAGTATCCCGAAATTAAGTGGCTTGAAATTATGGTAGGATCGCCACTCGGGATATTGGAAGGTCTGGGATTCTAGATCTATCTACAGTCTAGCTATAGCTGCAGTCTCCCTTCTAGCTCCTCGTCTGGGATGCCTTTTACGGATGGAGTAATAGGTAGAATTTCTAGAGTTGAATTTAAGAAGGTTCGCATAGGGTCTTTAGGAATGGCTTAGGTGGAGGGTTTATCTGGTCTGGAGGTTGATTTTTTTCTCGGGTTCAGCGCTTCGGGAAACCCTAAACCCTAAACCCTTCACTTGCAAGAAGTTCCGAATTCCTCCGAGATCTTGCAAGGCCCTACCGGCAGCGTAAGCCCCCGGTACCGAATAAGTGGGTGCCTGGACCCGGATCCTATAGCCTGCTAGAGAAGCCTAAATAAATACCAATATAATTTTCAGGGTTCCTCATCAGAACTATACAATAAAAGGAGCCCAAGCCTTTCTGATTTTGAAGGCCCTTACATTAAATCCATCTTAAATCTCAAACCCTAAGCCCCTACACCTTAAACGGCCCTAAACCCTGGTATGCTTCGCTTCCTTCAATGTGCTCAGCACCTTCGAGGACGTCTTATGGGCCTGCTGATCGAAACGCTCTCAAGGTCCTCTAGAAACACTATACCCTATATTAACCCTAATTAACCCCAAAATAAACCCTGAAAGGCAACGCGGGCTTAGGGTTGAGCCCTGATTTTAGGGCTTAGATGCTTTCGGTTCGGGGTACGAGCGTGTTTGTTGATGCGGGAGGAGGGGGGGTGCCTTAGAGTTTCTGCGTTCAGGATTCTGCGAGGCAAAGGGGTTTATAGTAGAAGCCATAAAGTTGGAACATTATACCCATGCCCTTAAGGTAGAGCGAAAGGGATCCTTGCACCAATCATCCTAAACCCATGTTCCAACTTAGTGGGGTTCGCCGCAGGGTTTAGAGATCTGAAACCGTGAGCTGCTTGAGGCCCCCTTCGATGTGGACTTCGCTGGCCACCGCGTGCAAGCCTTTGCCCAAGGATCATGCTCAAGCCTAAATAATAGGGCCAATAGGGAATACTGATTTGGGGGGTTCCTTCTTATAATTATGGTATAAACACAGCAAAAAAACATTCGAATTATTCCTTAGGGTTCCTTGTTATCAGTATAGCATAAAAAGCCACCCAAAACCCTATTCTGCGTAATTGTGTACGGCCCCTACAATAGGCCGGTCTAGACTCGAGGTTCGTCTTACTATGGGGTTTTGGGGGTGTAGGGTTTAGGGTTTAGGGTTTAGGGTTTAGGGTTTAGGTTTAGGGTGTAGGGTTTAGGGTTTAGGGTTTGGGCTTTGGGGTTTAAGGTTTAGGGTTTAGGGTTTGGGGTTTGGGGTTTAGGGTTTAGGGTTTAGGGTTTAGGGCAGCCCTAAGGGTCCGTCCAGGGTTTAGGGTTACTCAAACAGTATATACTTTGCCCCAGAGGACCTATGTAGAGACAACTTTAAGGACAAAGTATATACTATTTGGGCACATGGACCCTTAGGGCAGGTGTTGGGTTTAGGTTTCAGGGCTACCGTTGAGTATGTCATGAGTGCCTGGACGTCGGTCACAACAATCATAAGATCCGGCTGGAGGTGCGAGATATCTCCCTAAACTCTAAACCCCTCCTGGAACCCTAAACCCTTTAAACCCTAAACCCTAAATTTAAACCCTAAACCCAAAAATCCTAAACCCAAAAACCCTAAACCCTAAACCCAAAAATCCTAAACCCTAAACCAAATAACCCTCAACGCTACGCCCCTCTACGATCCGCATCTGGGCAACTGCAAACCGTATCGCGGCAGCCGCCCAGTTCAAGTCGAAGTCCAAAAGCACCCACACAAAGGATCCTGAGCTTAAGGTTTAGGGTTTGGTTTAGGGGTTGAGGGTTTGAGGTTTAGGGGTTTATTGTTTAGGGTCTAGGGGTTTGGGGTTTAGGGGTTTTGGGTTTAGGGTTCATAGGGTTGAGGCTGCCAATGTTATCTTTACGATGTTTGTGCCAATCGGAACTGTCTGGTTCAGTTCAGCAGTACTGGTGCCAGGGGCAGGGCATGAGTCTCAGTGTGCCATGACACTCTTCACTGTGAAGTTTCTTCGGCTTTTGTGTGTTCCTTTCTGAAGGTGCGTTTTGACAATAGTCTAGTTACGATGACTTCCACAACGACCTACATATTACTACTGCTGCTCTTGCTGCTTCTGCTGGCGCTGCTGCTGCTACTACTACCACTATACTGCTGCCAATGTCGCTATTCCACTACTCTAAAGGTCCATGTACCCGAACAGTCCATACTTTGGCCCCAAAGTGCCTGTACAGGGACTACGTTAAGGCCAAAGTATATATATATATATATACATACACACTATTTGGATACATGGACCCCAGAAACCCTAAATATTCCTCGTGGAACCCTTACAGGAACCCGTAGGGCTAACCCTCAGAACTACGGAGCTCCGAAGCCAAGAGAGTCTAAAGAGAAGCCGCTACCGGTCCAGGCCAGAACTCGAGTTGCCAGCGATGATGCCCTCAAGAGGCCAAGGGTCCCGGGTGCCAGTTCGAGCACACCATCCCTTGCCGTACATATATGCATAGTTGTTTAACTATATGTACATAAAAATCAGTAAGCATATATTGAGAGTGTAGGTGTGTGTATATATATATACACATTATACATTCACACTTGTGTATGTATGTATGTATGTATGTATGTATGTATGTATGTATGCATTCGGTCGTCGGTCAGTGGGTGGACATGCATGCCTGCCTGCTTGCCTGCCTGCCTGCCTGCCTGCCTGCGTGCGGGCGTGCGGGCGTGGGTGCGTGCGTGCACACGTGCATGAATAAATGGAACTATGTGTGTATGATGTATTATGTTTGCATTGAGGCCTTAAAGGAGTGTTGACGTGAACCCTCAAACCTTACCGCCCTTGCCTTAAAGCCTTCCAAGGAGCCCTTTAAGTAAACCTTAAAGGATCCCCTAAAGGAACCCTAGAACCCCATAAAGGAACCCTAAACTCCAAACCCGTAGAGCGAACCCTTAAAGGAGCCCTTAAAGGAACCCTAAACCCACAAAAACCCTTGAAGGAACCCTTGAAGGAACCTTCAAAGGAACCCTTAAAGGAACACTAAACCCTAAACCCTTAGAGAAGCCCAAGGAACCCTTAAAGGAACCCTTAAAGGAACCCTTCAAAGGAACCCTAAAAGGGAGCCCTTAAAAGGAACCCGTCAAAGGAGCTCTTACAGTTAAAGGAGCCGTAAAGGAACCTTAATACCCTAAACCCTTAGGGGATCCCTGTAAAGGAACCCTTAAAAGGAGCCCTTTAGAGGGATCGCTGAATGCTCGGGAGGCCGAGCTGCGTCAGCCCTGCGCGACTTCGCTACCTTCTCGAGCTCGAGCCTGAGATTCTGGCGGTTTCGGGGGAGGGGTCTTATAGGGTTTAGGATTTAGGGTTGAGGGTTTAGGATTTAGGGTTTATAGGGTTTAGGATTTACAGGGTTTAGGATTTAGGGTGTAGGGTTTAGGACTTACAGAGTTTAGGGTTTGGGGTTTAGGGTTTGGGGTTTAGAATTTAGGGTTGGGTTATTCAAGGCTTTAGGACTTCTATTCGACGACACACACCAACGCTTGAAGATGCAGGTGTACGCAGGTTTAGGGTTCTTGGAAGCTTAGAGTCTGAAAGGTGTAAGGCTTTAACGGTTTAGGGTTTATAGGGTCTAGGGTTTAGCCTGTGTGAATCGAGGGTGTGCGGCTTCGAGTTTGGGGCGGGGGGGTTGAGGTCCCCCCGAAGTACCTTGGTCTTGCGCTACACCCTAAACCCCAAGAACTAATCCGTAAACCTATGTCACCTAAACCCCTACACCCTAAACCCTAAACCTGTGTTGAAACCATGCAAATTCAAACTCACCATCTCCAAACCGATCTTCTAAACCCTCAAGTTCTTAGGCTTCCTGATTATAACTATAGAATAAAGGAACCCCAAACCCTAGTCACCCTCCAGTTACTATACAGGCCCTTGGGGGCTCTAGTGCCCTATAAAGTAGTTACCTGGGGGGGTTAGGGTAGTAAGACCCCTACATTACCAGAGTTTAGGGTGTACCCATAGGCCCTAAAGTAGTTCCTTTTGGGGGTTTATATATAGAATCCTATAAGGTAACCCCAAAAAGGAACTACTATGGGGCCTATGGGTAGAGTTTAAGCTTTCAGCTGTCAGGATGCATGGATCCAGCCCCACTACACGGGAGCTGGTCCCAGCACGTCGAAGGCCGCGCAGCAAGGCGGGGAATGTGGGTTCAGCTGTGTTCAGGATTCCTTCTCGAGATTTAGATTTAGGGCAGTAAGAATTCAGGGATTGAGCATTACCTCAGGGAACCCTAAACCCTAAACCCTAAACCCTAAACCCTAAAGCTTAAGCTTTGGGCTAGAACGGGAGTGCCTTAGTCGCAGTACTTTTGATCAGTTTGGCACGTGAGTGATGGTCTCGATCCTCGGATGTCGGGCTGAGGGGTTTCGAATTGACCGGTAGAACTTCTTAGTAGTAGTAGTAGTAGTAGTAGTAGTAGATATCCTTTAACCTGTTTTGGGCTACCATAATCCCGATATATTCCCAAACTTTAACCTTTAGGTCCGGACTTTATAAACCAATATACGAGTTTTGACCCCTAGGATCCAAGTGCGCAGCAGGTTGGACCCTTCAGGTGAAGGAAGCCCAAAAAAAAACCTAGACCGGTTTAGGGTTTAGGGCTTAGGGAAAAAAGCCTAGACCAGGAGGTCCAAGCACCTGACTGCGAGACTTTCAGAAGGGTAAGCCTTTGGGAGATTTTGTACGTTCACGCATTGGGCTAAACGACCGTCATGGAATTATAAGTCCCAAAAGACCATCCTTATTATGGTTTTGGGGGGCAATAGTAAGGTAAATGGACCCTTGCGGTTAAGAGGATCTTATTTACGTATGTATTTCAGAGGCTCTGAAGGGCCAACCAAGGAACTTAAGAGGTGCTTAGGATTTGCTGAGCTCAGGGTGCAGGGTTTGGAGTCTTCTTGATCTGACTCTTTGGGTACGGTACAGGGCAGTATAGGGGTTTAGGGTTTGGGGTTTAGTCTAGGGTTTTCCCCTGCCTTCGATGTGCAAGTTTGTTAGCCTGCGTAAGCCTGCACAGGTGAATCGGCCACGATCGCTGTCGCCACCCTCTGCAGCAGAGGCCTTAGATAAGCCTTCGGCTATTCTTCAACCCTAAACCCCTAAAACCCTAAACCCTAAACTCTAAGACCCTAAAGCCCTAAACCCTAAAATTGCTTTAAAACCCTAAAGCCCTCAACCCTAAACTAGCTTTAAAACCCTAAACCCCTACACCCCCGAACCCAAAACCCAAAACCCTAAACCCTAAACTCTAAACCCCTAAACCCTAAACCCCTAAGCCCCTAAACCCCTAAACCCTAAACCCCTGAACCCCTGAACCCCTTAAACCCTGAAGGCCTGAGCTTGATTGGCCGGAGTGCTTCGACTGAAAACGGTCTTCGAAGTTAGGATTACGGGGGACCCTTGGGGATATAGACCCTCTCAACAAGGTCCCTTTTAAGAGAGCCAGAAGCAAGGTTCAGAAGGGGTACCCTTATAGGGGTCTCCCTAATAATTCTGCCTAGGTCTTCAAAGCTTCCGGCGCTTTCGACGGTTTTACAACTCTAGATCTCCATGTACCTATGTGAGATGAGGTCAAAATTATCGTAT